TGCCGCCCTCGCCCTCGCTCCGGCTGATCTGTACAAACCACATCCTCGCGCTCCCACCGCCCTACGGATCAGGAGGAGGGAGGAGGAGGGAGGGAGGGAGGGAGGAGGAGGAGGAGGGAGGGTCCAAAACGAGGGATATGTATCCAGACAGACGGAGAAAACTAGACGAATTGAACAAGGAGCAGGAGGATCAGCAGCAGGAGGAAATGGGGAAGGACGAACAGGGGGAGACGGAGGAAGAGGTGTTGGCAGCGGCAGTGGGGGAGGAGAAGGGGGTACAGGGTCGCTCATAGTCCCAACGCCTCAACTCTGACCTCTGCAGCGCAGGGGATCATGACTGCATCCTCCTTGAGCAGGTGGAGCCTCGCGTGCAGGACTGAGGGGATGACTCCCTCCCCGAGCAGCCCGCAGTCGACTATCTCCGATACCATCATGTCCGCCCGCCCTCTTAAGTCGCTCCCCTCGCTCTGGTACTCCCCGAACCCTTCCATGCGCCCGTGAACAGAGCTCCCGGGATGCGGAGGAGGAAAAGGAGAGGAGAGAAGAAAGTTGGGTGATGGGGAACCAGGGTTCGAGCAAGAGGAAAGCAGGAGGGGGAATGGTGGAGGAGTGGTGGAGTTGTGGTGGGGAGAAGATTGAAGGGGAAGAGGTGTAGGAGAAGACAAGGAGGGGTGGAGAGAGGAGGAGAGGAGAGGGGAAGAGGAGGAAGGGAGGAGACGAGGAGGCGAGGAGAGGAAGAGAGGAGGAGAGGTGGAGGGGAGGGGACGAGGAGACGAGAGAGGAGGAGAGGAGAGGTGGGGATTCGAGAGGTCAAACCTGACACATAAACAGGAGCAGGCCCAACGATCAGCTCCGAAGAATGCTTGTGCACCACCACCACACCTGCAGCTGGGCGTCAGCTGGAAGTTGCTCGCTCGAGAGCCATCACGGTCATCGAGCCCGTTGTGCTCTACAATGATCGAGGAGGCCGTCGCGATCGCCTCGCTCTGTCGACCTGATCAATATCTTCCTCCTCCTCCTCCTCCTCCTCCTCCTCCTCCTCCTCCTTTCTTCCTCCTCTTTTCTTCCTCCTCCTTCTCGTCCATCCATAGGGAAGCAGCGCTTCTTTTCCTCTCCCTTCTACAAACACTCTAACTCCTGCTCCTTCCATTCTCTCCCTCTCCTTATCCCGGGCGGATGAAGGGGAGAGAGAGGGGGGAGAGGAGGGAGGGAGCCCCCTCCTCCTCCTCTCGCCATCTCATCACCCTCCCTGTCCCTTATCATTTCTCCTCCTCCTTCCCCACTCCTCCTCACTGCCTCCTCCTCCCACGCCCCCTCCCTCTCCCTCCTCACCTTCTCGCAGCAGACCACTCTCCCAGCTCCGCACCTCGCCGCCATCATTCCCAGCAGGCCCTGCGACTCCCTCAGCCGATCTCGAATCCAAATCGCCCTTTTTACCGTCCCCGACCCAACGTCCAGCACGAGGCTACCTGCCGCCACCTGTCGCGTGCTCGTCATTTCTCAGCTCGTCCTCTGCTCCAGCTCGTCCCCTGCTGGCCTTCAGCTCGTCACCTGGCGGCGGAGGGCGCGGTAGTAAGCCTCGTTCCTCTCACTGTCGTTGAGCATGCCAAAGTGCCAACGCTGCACCACCTGAGGGGCACCTGGACGTCAGCTGGAGGATGTGAGGGAGCCGGAGCAGGGGATGGTGGGGATAGTCTGTGCTGGAAGACTTTGAGGATCGAGAGTGAGGAGAGGGAAGAGAAGGAGATGAGGTGGACGGGATGGACAAAGCAAGAGGAAGGTGAAGAGCAGGACGAGGATGTAAAGGAATGGAAGAGATCATGGTAGAGGATGAAGATGAGAATGAGGATGAGGATGGCACGATGAGGATGAAAATTGGAGAGGAAGGAGGAGAGGGCGATCTCGGGTCACCTGCTTACTAGGAAGGATGTGGTTCTTGTGGACTGGCGAATCGACGGGCTCAACGCGAAGCTCCGTCGAAGAGCTGAACAAGCAGAACTCACACGCGGATGAGTGGAAAGAGCAGGAGCAGCAAGGACGACAGAAGGGGACAAAAGGCTAGAAAGGGAGGTAGGTAGGTAGGTAGGTAGGGAGGGAGGGAGGGAGGGAGGGAGGGAGGGAGGGAGGGGAGGGAGGGGAGGGAGGGAGGGAGGGAGGAAGGGAGGAAGGGAGGGAGGGAATGCATGGAAGGAGGCGAAAGAGGATCAGGTCATACCGCCTGACTCGGAGGACGAGGGCTCTACCCTCCTCCACCTTCACCTCCTCTGAGAGCATAAAAACCGCCTGGAGCAAGTGGATGAGGAGAACAATCGGAACGAGCAGCGACCAGGGACAGCAAGCGGTAGTGACCTTCAGCACACAGAAGGAAACGAAGAGCATGGAGAAGAAGAAGGGGAGAGGGCAAAGAATGAGGAGGACAAGGGCCAGTAAGAGGGGAATCAGGAGGAGAAGCAGAAGGAGGAGGAGGAGGAGGAGGAGGAGGAGGAGGAGTAGGAGGAGGAGGAGGAGGAGGAGGAGGAGGA